TGGGACACCACCTCCAGACTCTGCAGAAGATCCTATTATAGGATGATCAAGTCTAGGATTGTCCAACATGCTTTCTCTAACTCCCTTGTCGGGCTGTGTATTTACATTGGCCCGAATAAAAAAAACAAGATTACAACTTGATTAATTGTATGATACAGTTTATATCTATTTGCAGACATTAGGTGTCACTAAGAACCTTCTGCAGGAACCTGTTATCTTCCACACCTTGAAGGATGGATTCGTCTCTCACGTATGCGCTGTTCCAGTTTTGGATGCCATTACCCACTCATTGCCACCCAGTTAATCTGGTTTCGCTTGAATCTCTTTCCTTGTCTGTGGGGAGACTGATGTTGAAACCACTGGCTGTTGGCCAATAGAGGACCTCACACCCAATGACACTGATTAAGACAAATAAAAAAATTGTTGGTTTTATATAATTTAATTTTGGGGTCTTTTGATTACAACTCACTGCAGGTAGTTTTATTGTGGTTCTGAAGACCTGATTTAATCATGAAAAGGTGTGAAGGAGACGACCCAGTGCAATGTGTTCTAGTCGGTACAGGAACTTGGTAGCAACCCATTTATTAGAGAAACCTCTGAAATAAGCTGAGATGAACATGATGGGTTTTATTCTGGAAATCTACTCTCCTTCATTGAGTTCAGTTCGACTTAATTTTTTTTGTACTGATGTTTTCTTTTTTCTACTTCCTGGTTGTCACTCATGCAGTTTATTAATATTCCATGATGTTTGCCTCCATGTGGCCCTAAACACACTGCAAACATACGGGAAAGGAAATTTAGTGAAACTACACCAGGGGAGGAAGACTATTATCAGAATTAAATTCTAACAGGTCTTGATCTAAGGGGATGTAAACTCCCCTTTTCTGATCTTTTATTTTCTCAAGTTCCTCCATCTAAATCAGGCCCATTTTACTTCATTCATGCTGAGTAATCTATCCGTCCAGCAGTGATGCGAGTCAGAGCGCTATCGTTTCTGCTCTTTCAGCATCTAATCTCATCAGGGCCAAACCAACATTGAAGCTGGTCAGAGTGTGGTCTGAGGGGGCTATGGAGGCACTCCAGGACTGTTTTGAATGCTCCCACTGGAACATGTTAAAAACTGCTGCAACCTCTACTCATCTATATACAGGTGCTGGTCATAAAATTAGAATATCATGAAAAAGTTGATTGATTTCAGTAATTCCATTTAAAAAGTGAAACTTGTATATTATATTCATACATTACATACAAACTCATATATTTCAGATGTTTATTTTGTTTAATTTTGATGATTACAAATGACAACAAATGAAAATCTCAAATTCATCATATCAGAAAATTAGAATATTACTGAAGACCAATAAAAACAAAGGATTTATAGAAATGTTGGCCAACTGAAAAGTATGAACATGAAAAGTATGAGCATGTACAGCACTCAGTATTTAGTTGGGCCTCCTTTGGCCTGTATTACTGCAGCAATGCGGCGTGGCATGGAGTCGATCAGTCTGTGGCACTGCTCAGGTGTTATGATAGCCCAGGTTGCTCTAATAGTGGCTTTTAGCTCTTCTGAATTGTTGGGTCTGGTGTATTGCATCTTCTTCTTCACAATACCCCATAGATTTTCTATGGGGTTAAGGTCAGGAGAGTTTGCTGGCCAATTAAGAACAGGGATACCATGGTCCTTCAACCAGGTACTGGTAGCTTTGGCACTGTGTGCAGGTGCCAAGTCCTGTTGGAAAATGAAATCTGCATCTCCAAAAAGTTGGTAAAACTTCCTGGTATGTGGCTGCGTTGACCCTGGACCTCAGAAAACACAATGGACCAACACCAGCAGATGACATGGCACCCCAAACCATCACTGACTGTGGAAACTTTACACTGGACTTCAAGCAACGTGGATGAAGTGCCTCTCTTCTTTTCCTCCAGACTCTGGGACCTTGATTTCCAAAGGAAATGCAAAATTTACTTTCATCAGAGAACATGACTTTGGACCACTCACCAGCAGTCCAGTCCTGTTTCTCTTTAGCCCAGGCAAGACGCTTCTGACGCTGTCTGTGGTTCAAGAGTGGCTTGACACAAGGAATGCGACAGCAGAAACCCATGTCTTTCATACGTCTGTGTGTGGTGGTTCTTGAAGCACTCACTCCAGCTGCAGTCCACTCTTTGTGAATCTCCCCCACATTTTTGAATGGGTTTTGTTTCACAATCCTCTCCAGGGTGCGGTTATCTCTCTTGCTTGTACACTTTTTTCGACCACATCTTTTCCTTCCCTTCGCCTCTCTATTAATGTGCTTGGACACTGAGCTCTGTGAACAGCCAGCCTCTTTAGCGATGACCTTTTGTGTCTTGCCCTCCTTGTGCAAGGTGTCGATGGTCGTCTTTTGGACAACTGTCAAGTCAGCAGTCTTCCCCATGATTGTGTAGCCTATAGAACTAGACTGAAAGACCATTTAAAGGCTTTTGCAGGTGGTTTGAGTTAATTAGCTGATTAGAGTGTGGCACCAGGGGCCATCAATTTTGAACCTTTTCACAATATTCTAATTTTCTGATATGATGAATTTAAGATTTTCATTTGTTGTCATTTGTAATCATCAAAATTAAACAAAATAAACATCTGAAATATATGAGTTTGTATGTAATGTATGAATTAGTGCTGTCAAAATTATCGCGTTATTATCGCGTTAACGCGAGGCCATTTTAACGGCGATAATTTTTTTAACGTGAGATTAACGCTATGTGGTTTTATGGTACAATTTTCCAAGTACATCCCGCTGCAGCCTGCGAGAAGGCGGGGCTACTTTCCCCCAGTGTATGCATTTCTCATAGGCTTCAAGAGCGGAGCTCCTCAAGGAAAAAAGACGCTCATACACTGGGTGACGCTAGTGCCTTTTCTTTAAGCCCCACCACCAACAAACAAGTTGAGTGTCTGGTAACTAGTAGCAACCTGAAATACGCTGAGAAAACAGATTACTGAGGTGAAATGGAATCTGCTACGGCACGCTTGCTGTCACAGGTCGGTATCGTGTGTGTGTGTGGGTGGGTGTGTCTGTGTGTGGGTGGGTGGGTGTGTGTGTGTTCTCATTTTTGTTAAGAGTCTGAAAAGTAACTTTCATAGACTACCTCCATCTAGTGATGTCCGTCTATTGATTTTGATGTATTGATTGAAAATTGTTCATTATTATCTTGGTTAATTAACATCTAATGTTAACTGTACTACATTTTATAGCAGTAGGGTAAAATGCTTGTCTTTGTTCAAAAGACTGTATTAACTGTAAAGACTGTCTTTTACATCAGCCTGTTTTCAGGGCCTTTTTTTTGGCTACATATTTGTTATTTTTTGCTACATGCCATCTTCTTGCCATATGTTTCTATGGCATAAATCAGTATCTGTGACCTGTTCTCATTTAAAAAAAAGAACATTGGCACAAACCTAGCCTGTATGTATTTTTTGTATGTCATCGAGAGTATTTAAATGATTTTCAATCAGAAAAAAAATGTGCGATTAAAATGCGATTAATCGCGAGTTAACTCAGGCATTGATGCGATTAATCGCGATTAAAAAAATTTAATCGATTGACAGCACTAGTATGAATATAATATACAAGTTTCACTTTTTAAATGGAATTACTGAAATCAATCTACTTTTTCATGATATTCTAATTTTATGACCAGCACCTGTAAATATAGATGAGTATGCAGAAGCACACCTGGAGAAGAACACCAACATGCGGATGCTGTTCCTGGTCTTTAGTTCACCTTTCAACACCAATATCCCACAGCATCTGATAGGAAAATTGGAACAGCTGGGCTTCATACACCTCTCTGCAATTGGCTGCTAGACTTCCTCACCAACAAACCTCAGTCAGTCTGGGGGTTGGACAAAAGACTGTTGATGTCATCAACCTAAGCACAGGCTCCCCTTAGGGCTGAGCACTGATCTCTATTCACTTGATTGCTGATAGCCCCTTTGGTAGTACAGGGTTGAACGGAAGCCACCGTCCACCATATTGGTACTCCCTAGTTATACGTGCGCTACAGCATCGAACAGCACTGTTCAATTGTACTTCCTGCAGAGGATGAGGAGAGCCCACCTGCCCCCACCCATCCTCACCACCTTCTACAGAAGCACCATAGAGAGCGTTCTGACCAGCTGTCTCACTGTGTGGTGTGGAAGCTGCAGCGCCTCAGACTGGAAGAAGGTGAGAAGAGTGGTGAGAACAGCAGAGAAGATCATGGGGGCTCCTCTTCCCTCCATTAAAGACATTTCATCCCAGCGCTGCGTGTCCCGAGCCCGTAACATCAATAACCCCTCACACCCCCACCATGGACTGTTCTACCTGCTGCCCTCTGGGAAGAGACTTCGAAGCATTGGATGTAGATTCAGCAGATTCTGCAACACCTTTTTCCCCTCCCACTGCTGTCACTGTTGAAAATCTTAAGTCACAAATTGAGACTGATCGTTTCACATCAATGCCTTTTGCCCCATGTCTCTCCTACACGGTTTATACTTTGATCAGTGCTGCACTTTATAAATGGAAAAGTTAATTTTCACGCTTAACTGCTGCTCATTCACTGTCGGTAAGCTGTATGTAATAAAATTTTAAAACAAAATTGTAACTTTTGTTTGTATACACTCTCTGTGTACAAAAACAAAGTTTGTCTAAGTCCAAGTTCTTCTGTCAATATTTTCTATTTAATTTAATTCTGTAATCATTAGATTCTTTAGGAACCTTTGGCTATCCAATTATTAACTGAAAAAAATAAAACAGATTAATGAATTAGCAATATAATCAATAGTTTCAGCCCTAATTTAAACCCAAATTTAATTCTAGTGCCACAAAGCGATAAAAGATTGGGAGACTTTATATCCATGGAGAATGATACATTAATGCATTTGTGTTAAGAATAAAATTTGGGAATTCTCTTTACAAAGTATTTAAAGAAAAACCTCAGTTCAAGACAATTTGTTGTTGGAAAAGAAGAGAAACGCCAAACACAGATAAAACAAATATTGACTTTATATTAAGAAAAAGGGTAAAACAATGCATTTGCAATACAATAAAACCGAAATTAATGCATGAGGATTTAAGCAAAGCAGTTTAGTGAACTGGTTACAAAAGGCATTTATTGTCCAAATAAATGTGGTCCAAAGTGGGACTCACCTCAGCTGGCCATCAGGATTATAGTTTCTGAAATGTTATTAATCCATCCATAAAACAAAAATATAAAACTGAAAAATATTACAAAAAGGAGGAAGTACCATATTTTTCCATTGTCCAGTATAAGCACTAAAATAAAAATCTAAGAAATAGAAAAGCCTTTTAGGACTGCCTAAAAACAAGAAAAAATTAGAAAAATGTTAAAAAACGTCAAACAAAGCTATTCTTTCTTTAGCCTCTGTGCTTTGGCTTTTAACTGCCAGTGGGAACGACGTACAATCTGCAAGCGGCATTTTCAGCACAGTTCAGCTGCATACTGCCGTTTTTTTTTTGGTTTTTTACATTTACAGCATGTCATCATCTCCTCCTCCGTACATGTCTGCCAGTTTCTTGAATCGTGGGCCCCAGTCGGCGAGGCAGTCATAGTCCTGGTCTCCATCACTGGATGAGTTCAGAGAGGAAAGGCTTCCAGCTTCAGAACCTCCTCCTTCATAATCAAACACCAGTAGGGAGTCATAGGGAGGAGCAGTCGGGTCGTTATCTGCTGCCTTCAGGTTCTGTGTTATGATAAGGAAAGCAGGTTTAACATTTCTCAAACCTTCATAAATCAACTAATTTAACAGCCAAAATTTTACGAATTATTTCTTTTTTGTGGTGTACTGGACTCACATCACCAATGAAGTTTCCGATATCATCCGGATTGGCGGGTCGAGGTTTGTATACAGGTGCCGTCATAAACATTGGGGCCACGTCATTCCTGAACACCTCGGGGCGGTTGTCCAAACCACGATGGAGGACACCAAGATCAAAGTCCTGATGAAAAGATAAAAAAGAAAAACTTGTCACATACTTGCCTTTAACCTTTATTTATCACCATAAAATCACCAGAGCTCATTCAGAGGATCACATAAACATCACATAAAGAATGTTCCAGGGTATAAATTATGATTGAGCAGAAGCAGCAATTACCTGATCGTCCTCTCCACCTCCCTCCTCATCATAGTAGTAGATGTTGTCTCTAATGTCATCATCTTGGAGTAGAAGTGGTTCCTTCTCTGGCTTCCTTCTTCTTGCAAACAGAAGCAGCAAGAGGACGAGCACTGAAAGGGCATAAAGCGGACATCACTTATTTCAGACCAAAATACCCCCATCAGAGCTGCCACAGATGGTCACTCTGGGTCTCCTAGCTAGAGTGACAGTCCACCTACTCTAGTATAGTGGGTGCTCCCCAGGCACCGCACAATGACAGCCCACTGCTCTCCAAGAGGATTAGTTAAATGCAGAGAGTTAATTTAATTGCTCTGATTTGTGACAATAAAACGCTGGAAAAGAACAAAGACGGACACAGAGTATCCATTCAGGTGTTCAAATCTATGTCGGATCCATTCTTTCAGGGCTGGGATGAAAATGATTTGCTTGCCACACTAATGCACAAACCAGGCTGTTATTCATTAGAGCTAGGTTTGAGTCGAGTCCCTAAGAAGTAACGGTGGGCTCACACTGAAATCAGTACACCGTGTTGTGAGAGAAGCACTAACATCTGTCACAGTGCAGATCAACAAAGTCGCTCTGCAAGGAAGAAGTTTGAAGCAGCTTAGTCGTCAGCCGCAGCAATCTCCTCATTAAGATCCTGACTCTAACCCCCCCCCCGCAAACAGGAGAGCTGGTGTCCTCTATCTCCTTAAAGTCCATCACGCCGTTTTATTTCCCAATTTGGTAAAGTTTTGTGATTAAAACAACATAAAAAAAGTCCTTCACTAGGTTGACTAAACACATTAGATTTAAAAACAAACATTGCATGTCCGTTCGACGAGGATCTTATTAAAGAATGATCCACATTTTTTTCCACAGAGAATTAAATATTTATAGGGAGAGGATTCTACAACTCAGTTGACAGGAGATGAGATTGATTTGTTTTTAGTTTGTTTAATATGAGCAACATATGGATTATTTTATTCTTATTTATTTCTACAGTACATGAAGAACTATTAAAATTATCTTCAGATTACAATGAAATAGATTAATTCTGCGGGGGGAAAGGAATGACTTTAGCATTAGGATTCACTCTGTGATAACGGCCTACCGAGCCTACTGGCACTATCTGAAGCCATTCTATGGGACTGATAGCTGCTAATAACGACCACACACATATGCTTATTATTAAGGGTATGCTGGCCTGACGCAGTATGCTGAGCTGACAGAACACTGGGCACCAGAAAAAAAAAATATTTGCAGTGAATTTCAGAAAAAGAACCCATCAACCTATTTAACCTGAGCAGCGAAAAAAAAAATATGTGGAAAGAGAAACAGGGGGCTAACAAACAATAAAAAAGGATATTTGAGTGCACAGATGAGGCGTTTTGCCCAACAACTCCTAGAGAGCGTGAAGCTGAGTAAATTTCTCTCTTAAGCCCAGTTTCTTCAACTGCAGCATGGACGGCGTGGCTGTAGCGATCAGTGTGAGTGATTATCTTTGGCATGGCTCACCAAAAGTGCAACGTTTTCAGTGTGAGCCCAGTGTACAACATATGTCACATCCACAGTGATATGAGTCACCTCTCAGTGACTTTAAGTAATCTTGTACATGGTTGAAATGTTGATTTATTTTTGCTGCAACTCGCCTATGTCACAAACTGAATGAATCACCCTGGAATTAATCCGATTGGCACAGTACACTAATCGTACAGAGTGGCACAGTATCAAATTCATACTGCAGATAGGGACGACGTGATGTGGAATAGATAGTGATATTATGACATTTTTATTTGCTACATAATCTGGAAATTTATCTTTTTTTTTTAAAGTTGTAATAAAGTCGTATTTTTTTCCTTTTTTCATCCAAGCTTCCTAACGCCAGATACATTCTCACCGAACACAAATGTGATGGATTTTCAGCATGGTCGATCTGGAAGAAGAACTTCCTTGTTTGCACATGCACAGTGTTTGAGGTTCTGGTAAATTGGCTCATAGCTCTGCTTCAACAGCAGGATTTATTTAACAGCAGAAGGGCCGACTGAATTTCAAACATGTTTGATTTTCTCCTGACCTTATGATTCCTGGTCGAGAGAGGCTGATTGCCCCTCGTTACACCTGTATGCTACACGACAATGAGGGTGGAATTCGGGCCTGATCCAAAAGATTCTCATACGACTGGAGAATCTGCCCAAAAAGGGCAAAAAACTCAGTTTAAGCCCAGAAACAATCAAATTGTTCAACTTTATCATCTCAAAGATTTAAAATAAATATAAAAACATTTGAAATAATTTCTCTCATTCAGAGAAGATTTAATTATCTGGAAATGCTCCAAAATTACAAACTCACTGAGCAGCAGCAGGATGCCTCCGAGTATTCCCAGGATGACGGGAAGGTTTGAGCCTGCAGCAGCTCTTCCCTTGCACATGACTTCTTCTCCAGTGCACTCACAAACACGAGCCTTGACTGTGCTCTCCTGAAACTGATTCCCAGTGTCTGTAACAGTCATCCGGACGCTGTATTCTCCTTCCTCCAACTCACGGGTTAGACTCAGAACAATAGCCGTTCCTGCAAGGACAAATTATAATTTGTGTCAAACGCATACAAAAAAAAAACATAATGTTGACATCATTTATAAAATTATTGTCTTTGGAAAAAATGTTAATCAGCACTGATTTGGTGTTTGAACAAAAACTGTCACTGATTAATAAAGCGCAAGCAATACAGAAAGAGGAAAAAAAAAAAAAACCAAGTAGAAGTTTGACTACCGGAAACCTAAATGACTCCTTTAAGAAACCGTCTCTTGACCCAGATGACTTGGTCAATTATAGACCTATATCCAATCTTCCTTTCTTATCTAAAATTCTAAAGAAAGTAGTTCCCAAACAAGTGTGCGATCACTTACACCATAATTAACTTTTGGAAGAGTTTCAGTCTGGCTATAGAGCTCATCATAGCACTGAAACAGCTCTGGTGAAAGTCACTAATGATATTCTAATGGCCTCAGATAATGGACTTGTATCTGTACTTGTCCTGTTAGATCTCAGTGCTGCAATTGATACAGTTGATCATAATATTATTTTGGAAAGAGTTGAATATTTTGTTGGAATTAAAGATCAGCGCTAGACTGGTTTAAATCTTTTGACCAATTTCAGTTTGTTCATGTTAATGATTAATCTTCCTCATGCTCCAGAGTTACCCATGGAGTCCAGTCAAGCCAATCCACTTTATATAGCACATTTACAAAAAAATTGTGATATGCTGTAGATAAAAACAAAGAAACCCAAAACACACATACAAAAAAAAAAAGAAAGAATAAACAAAAAGAACACAGAAGACCACACAACTATGCAGTGTTAAAAGCCACAGAACAAAACTGGGTCTTAAGATGAGACTTAAAACACTCCACTGTGGAGGCTGTTGGTATAAGGGGGAAAAGTATTCCAAAGTCTGGGGCCAACAACAGAAAAGGCTCTGTCCTCACTTGTTTTAAGACTCTTCTTAGGGCATTATTAGCTGAGGATGACCTCAGAGCATGTGCCAGAGAGTAAATCTGGAGGCACTCGGTAATGTATTGAGGGGCCATCCCATTCAATGCTCTAAACACAAACAATAAAATATTAAAATAAATTCTAAAATGAACAGGAAGCCAGTGTTAAGATGCAAGAATTGGTTTAACGTGTCAATGTTTTCTGGTCCCGTTAAAAGACGAGCCACTGCGCTTTGGACTAACTGCAGATGGGAGAGAGCTTGTTGGCTAATGCCTGGACATAGTGCATTGCAGTAGTCTAGACGGCTAGAAATAAGAGATTGTAAAACCTGCTCAAAGGGGTTAAAAGATAAAAAACATTTTACCTTAGAAAAAAAAAAATGATGATAAAAACACAATTTTAAAGCGCAGTTTGTTTATCCAGTTTAAAACCCGCTGTCCATGTTGACACCAAGGCTGGTTACTTTGGAACGTACACAATCCTTGAAAGGTCCCAAGTCAGAGATGGCTCTGCCAGACACCATCACCTCTGTCTTGCTTTCATTTAGTTTCAGAACATATTTCAATAACCAAGCCTTGACGTTTCCCAGACAGTCGAGTAGGAGTGTCAAGAGGCAGTGGCTGTTTTTAGCAATTGGCAAATAAATGCTATAATCGTCTGCATAAAAAATGGCATGCTTTCCCATATTTTGTGTAAACAAAGGTCCCAGGATAGAACCCTGAGGGACTCCACAATAGACCTGGAGTCCCCCAGCCTGACAGCCATGAAAGACTTCTCTGCCAGCTAGGATCTAAATGACAGCCAAGCAGTCTCCCCGACACCCACCCAATCCCACAGGCGGTCTAAAAGAGTTGTGTCGTCTACTGTGTTAAAAGCAGCAGTAAGATCTAAAAGCACCAAAAATGGCTGAAATGCCAGAATCGGTTGTAAAAAAAAAAAAAAAAAAAAAAGTCACTGAAAATGCTATGTTTGTCTAAAAAAGGTTGCACTTTTGCCAAGACACATTTCTCCAAGAATTTTGAGAAAAGGGGTCATTTGGAAATTGGTAGATAATTAGAAAGATCAGTGGTTCAGTGTACCACAGGGATCAGTGCTAGGGCCAAATCTCTTTACGCTATATATCCCAGTTGGTAGAATTATTATACAGCATGGGATTAATTTCCACTGTTATGCTGATGATACTCAGCTATATCTGTCTATATACCCAGATGAAGCTAGCCCATTACATAGATTACAGGCATGTCTGAAGACATAAAAACCTGGATGACTCTTAACTTTCTGCTCCTGATTGCAGACAAAACAGAAGTTATAGTCTTTGGAGTCTTTTAAAAAGAAGCTGATTAGTCAATCACTTCATTGGGATGGGATTAAACTGATTTCAGATAATAAAGTAAAAAATCTTGCTGTTATTTTTGGTCAGGACCTGTCATTAAAATCCCATATCAAAGTTTCTAGAATTTCCTTCTTTCAACTGCGTAATATTGCAAAAAAAATTTAATTGGAAAATGTAAATAAATGAATTGAATATGAATTAAAAAGATTAAACGTTTAAAATACGAACAAGTTTTAAATGAACTAAAACTACATAACTAAGTCGTGTAATGTTATGAAATTCGACTTAAAGACAATAAGCAGAAGCACTTCCGATGGATATGGTTGTGGATTAATTAAATGTGGATATATTTAGGTGCAACAAGAAAATGATCATCCCGCTCCATAATCCAGTGAGTCAATGAAAGTTTTGCGAATGTGTGACTAATTTTCTACGGAGAAACAGAGTTCCTCTACTCTGACTGCAGAAATGGTTTGCTGTCCATGTGGGGCTCGCAGCAGACTATAAAGTCAGAGGTACCGGAAGCCGTCGCCAAAGCCTCCACTAAGAAAAGGGTCTGGGGGGTCTGAAAAGTCACTAAATATACCACAAAAGGTCACCAAGCTGGCAACCGTGAGTGCCGTTTCAAATAAGCCATTCCTAGAGTACGTACTGGTGTCATCCATTTTAGCAGTCCAGTTAACCTTTGCTGTGTCATGCAAGATGACTCTGTATGGAGAAGTGTTGCCCGGACCATCTTTATCCGTTACATTCAAGATCTGAGGAGGTGGTTTCTTGTTACACACCTGTGGAGATTAAAACAACCGATTGTCATCATCTTGGTACTCATTTTTCTTTTATAATTTGATGAAATGCTACCCAATCTGGAGATCAGTCTGAGATTAAGTGTATTTTCAAAAATTGACAACTCAAACTAAGACAGAATAATAAGGCTCAGCACTCAGGGGGGAAGGTCGGGGGGCATACCATGAATTCCCGTTGCTCTATGGATGGGGCATTGTCGTTCACATCCTCAAGTATAATGGTCAAAGTGCCAGTTCCAGTGGCTGGGACTTGATCTGCATAGATAATACATATACATCAGTGAAACATGAGCAAGCCTGTTAAAATTAATCAGGAACTACCAACATCTACTAATGAAGCAATGACATTAAATTTATATAGATATAGACGTTACCTACCATCATCATAAGCATGAATAACAGCCATGTATTTCCCCTCGCTCACCAAGGGGGATTCTCTGTCCATTTCGTTCCTCACTGTGACCAGACCTTCATCAGAGACCTCTAGCCAACCAGCTGGGTCTGTATACATTTTAAACCTTAGCAAAAAAAAAGTGGATATGAAAGATTAAAGCTTGGCTTTGGAAAAAAAAAAACAAAAAACAACATTAGATCTTGGACAAAGTTTATTGTTATAACAGTAGCATTGTATTACTTTCAATTTTTCAAGTTGAATATGTTCAGGTTCCTTACATGACTTTCTGTTTGCGTGCTGTGTCTGGATCCTCTGCAATGAGCTTCACCACGTTGGTACCCTCTTTAAGGCTCTCCGATGTGATCACAGTGGGATCTTTTGGTTTAAATATCGGGGCTTCATTGACGTCGTTTACAGTCACCTCCACTGTGGCAGTGTAAGTGGGCAATTGAATAGCAAAAGGAATTTCATTCAGCACTTCAACCAGCAGGGTATGCTTGCTAATTTTCTCAAAGTCCAGACCCTGTTAACGAAAGAAAAAACACATCTAATCTGGAGATTTGCTGAGATGCTGTCCGAGCCAATAATGCCTAAGAAAGAATCTGCTGCTCCGCCTACCTGCGCAGTAGTAATGATTCCTTCTTGTTTGTTACTTCCGGTTTTCACAGTGAAAAAATTACCAGGATCTCCACCGACGATTTTGAACTTCGCATTCCAGGCGGAAGAATGTGGCTCATCACCGTCTGTCACCAACATCCGAACAACTTCAGCATCTACTTTATTCTCGTCAATTGTTGCTTTGTACTGAGGAAATGCAGAGGATGAATTTAGAGTTGTTCAGCCAACCGCAAACATGAGCTCAGGCCTATATGCTCTGTTCTGATACCGCCTCTCAGCCAGCTTATGAGGTGGTTTCATCATCAGCCTGCCTCTAGACAAACACACATGCACCATAATATGCTACTCTAACTCTGCCATATTTAAAAATAAATAAATGCTCCAAAAATAAATAAGCATACAATTAATTCCCCCCTAAAAATACAACAAATAAATGTTGATAGAAATTAAATTGTACAGTGAGACATAAATGTCTTTGTAATAATTACTTTATTAATGGTCTGTTTTATTCTTCAACTTTATTTAATACTTATTACTTTAAGTATTTACTTATGTGCATGATCTTTTTGTCTGATTTATTCTATGTACTTTTTTACCCTTTTTATTTCATCCATGCCATTTATTTCTGCCTGTCGTATTTACATTTCTGTATGCCTTTCTACCTCATTATTGAAATGAGGGGTGTGTCTTAAGGACTCAACTTCTCTACATTGGTTGGTTAGCAGCCACCGGCCACAGTCACAACAAACATGGCTACCTACGATGAAGTGGTCAGAGTCAGCTGAGAGATTTAGCAACTGTTGTTGAAAACCATGCTCATGTTATCAGTATTCAATTTATTATTTTTCGTTTGGACGCTCTGACAGACTGTGTGTTTCAGTTAGCGGCACACATGGACACAGATGTCGACAATGTAGTTTTTCAGAGTCTGGAGGAAGCGGCCCATCTTCTTAACCCCGGTCACTAACGACCGTGGTGAAGTTGGATATTGGATATTCAAGCTCCGGGGAGTCAGTCGGGTTCTAGCAAATGTTTGATTCGACTGAGTCCCTTGGCAAGACTCTTAACCCCAGAGGTGTCAAGTAACGAAATACAAATACTTCGTTACTGTACTTAAGTACGCGTTTTTAGGTATCTATACTTTACTCCATTCATTATTTTTCTTCCTACTTCTGACTTCTACTCATTACATTTTCACACAAGTATCTGTACTTTCTACTCCTTACATTTTTAAAACAAACGTTACTCGTTACTCTTGGCTTCGGTTTAATGCAGAGGTCACGGATTAGAGGACCATGGTCTGGTGTTATGTCAAAAAGTGAATGCAGGCGCGGGATATAAAAACGTTTAAATATTCCTCTTGTGGGAAATAAATGTGTGGTTATTTTGCAGATTAATTTACAAAAGTACGGGGGTTATGAACAACATTAAATCCTTAGATTTTGTCCGAGGTACAGCTAATTTATTTTTTGTAGTCTCTTGTTATTTACACACAACAAACAGTGAAGGCCGACATGAGTTTGAAAACTGCAAAGCTTTGTCTTAGCGTCAGCTATGGTGCATTCAGGAGGATGGGACATTTCACACTTACAAGGAAAGAGACATAAACGGATCAGAACTTAACTCATACAATAATGTATTTATCCAGAAACTGTGTGGGCTTTCTAACAATACTGAATGCTTTATAATTGTATTTGTCATTTTTTGATTATGCACATCTTCTAGCTTTTTATTCTAAAAAAAATCTATAATATTACAGCAGCAAATGATCAAAGTTTTTCAAAAGCCTGTTTAAAAGCTCCAAATGAGGCTTTAGATCGTACAGCGACAATTGCGCTGTCATTGTTTTACAGGGCAGAATTTGCATTTGCTGATCCTTGTCCTTTAACTACTGATGAATATACAGGAATACAGTCATACAAGTGTCAACTCCTCTGAGCTAGCACAGGATGCAATCTTTGGAAATTTCAAAATTTTTTTATTTATTTTTTTATTCAATACATGAATACATAAATCCCTCATTTTATTTCAGTGTTAAATTCTGTATAAAGTAACAGATCATTAAAAATGTCTCCGGACCTTTACTGGTTGATGATTTTCTTTATTCCGACCCCGCTGAATTGTTTACCCCTGGTTTAATGTTTATAAATATTTATTTCACATCATGTGCGCCATCCAATGCAGATCATTGGCGCCATCCACATCTAGATTCAGAAAAAGTCAGACACAGTCGGACACAGGCGAGAGCGTATAGGGAGATGGAGACCAACAAGACCTCCTTCATCCTTGGCTCTATCTCAAAGAATTTTTCAAAATAGTCCAAAAATTGAGCTTTCAATTCACATAGTGGCATTTGGCTGTATTTAAAAAAAATACATTATACTTTTATACTTTAAGTAGTTTTTGGAGCACTTTCTTTTTCATTTTTACTTTGGTAAAAGTTGAATTATCAACTTGACCTCTTCACTCGAGTGTTTTTAAACTGCAGTATCTATACTTCTACTTAAGTAACAAATGTGTGTATTTTTGACACCACTGCACACTGCCCAAGGGGATGGGTCAAATGCAGAGTGTGAATTTCTCCAATTTGTGATCAATAAAGTTAAATTACTATTATTATTTAACAGAACACAACTGAACTCTCTGGGCAAATAATATGGCCAAAAACCAACGGCCAACAGTTCAATATTTGGGCTGCAGTGATGAATCTTCACTTGACCATGTCCTGGATGACACCATCTTTTGTTCAACAACACTGCCAACCCATCTCCTTACATTTCCCAGTTTTCTTTAAATCTCTGTTTGCTCGTACAGTCATAAAGCCTGGCAGAGAGATGCTTGAGACAGAGATATGATCCTGCAGTCATGTTTCAGTAAAACACATAATGCTGCATTGGCCGATATTCTGGCTGGGTCCTTGATAGAGCTTTGCAGTTCTTCTAACTCCTTTCTTAAAAGATCTCCCATTGCAAATTAGGATCGGAAAGGATGCCTTAAAGTTCTTATTCCTCTCTCGCCTCCTTGCTTCTGCTATCCATTGCAAGCACCTCCTTTTCAACTCTGCTGGTAGTTGCAGAGGTAACTGATATATGATTTCTGTTTTACAGATCTTAGCTGCTTTCGGGTGTGCAAAGAAACTGTTCCACAAATGAAGGGACTAAAATTCTCTTAACTTGAGTCTCAGAATTGAAGTAGCAGAGCTATTCCATCATGTAGTCACTTTTAGCAGAGCGATTTTAGAAATCCCTGGTGCCGTTCAGTGTTTTGCACATTCCCAGTTCCCTTCCTGCCTTGTTTACCTGATTTACTAACAGGTCTGGCATAATTTCATATCCTTTTTCAGTCGTATGGAGTACAGCCATATGGAGGCAAACATTTAAGATGGTTTAGTGGCAAAAGAACGTTTCTAAAACTGTGAGCATTTTGACTGTGTGGATGAAGCTTTAGTCTGATTTAATATCAGGACAAAGTCTCCTGAGATAAGGAAACCATTTCTTGTTACTGAAAAATATGTTTTTAAAGAAATAAAACAATAATTTACAGACTGGTCAGTTTGAAAACCGGTCAGTTTAATAACAAATGCAGTAGCGTGAGTGTGTTGTACTTACAGATGTCTCGGTAAAAACCGGAGCATGATCGTTGCTGTCCGTCACCTTGATAATCACTTTGGTAAAACCAGCTAAGCCTTCTCCTTTCATGTCGGCAGCGCTTACTTCCAGTGTGTACTCAGGGTGTTTCTGTTAGATGAAATGCTGACTTTAAGTTACAAGGCAAAGAGAATCTCTTCCTTCAGCAAACTTAGGCTACGTTCACACTGCTGGCCTTAATGCTAAATTCGGATTTTTAGTGAAATTCGATTTTTTTCCCGTTGCCATTCGCATTTCCAAATATATGAGAATATCTCCTGTGTGACCTGCATTCATAGAGCTTAAGTCTCCCGCATGTGCAGTAGAGGACGCAATGATGTCACAAGCAAGCATGCTCCGTCTCATGCTCTCAAGTAAACATGGATGGTAGAGCTGGAGCGCATATAGCGATCTTAAAAACTCACTCTTTTCAATATAAATACTGCTCTCCGCATCATCATACAACATGGTTGTTGTTTTTCCTTGCCGCTTCTGCGTAGCAAGACGCAGAATAGTGACCTTTGTCGGATATTAATTGCAAACAGGGTCAGGTGAATGAAACCTGGCTTTTTAGACACAGGTCACCTTTGAAAAGATCAGGTTTGTATCGGATTCAGGACCACAGAGCCAAGTAGCCTTGATCATATTGGAAAGAAAATTGGATCCGAGTTGTTAAGACGGCCATGAAAAGATCAGATCCAAGTTGCATATGGGCAAAAAAAAAAGGAAAAAAAAGGAATTGGGTCACTTCATGCAGCTGTGTGAACGTAGCCTGAGACTATCAACATTAAAACGTTTCCCTGTCTATAATTTTCTCATACCATGTTGCTTCAGTGTAATTCTCTGTGTAATTTCCCATTAGGTTTTGTCCCTGTAGAACACTTAATTATATTGCTACTGAAATGTGCTAAATAAATAAACTTGCCTTGATAAACAAATTTTGCACATTTCTCTTGAATGCAACTAACCCAACTGACTTAAAAAAAAAAGTTAATTTCTACCTTGGTTTTAATGTACCTTTACAGGAAACGAATATAGCAGTCAGTGTCTTCCTCTTTTTTCTTTTAATAACTTTTCCTAATGTATCCCAGTCAAACATGGGAAATTGTTTGAAATTGTGTGACACAGTGAGAACTGAAATAAACCTACAGAAATTGGGAATTCCTCACCCTGGTTTGTCAGAACATCTCTATGCACACTGCAGTGTATATAGAGATGAACAAAAACATTGGAGATTAAATAGCTGGACGCAAACAGTGTAACCCATGCTTTAGTTAAAACTATCAGGAATCTCACCTCTCTGTCCAGCCTAGCAGCATTAACTCTGATGGCTCCAGTAACAGAGTTGATAATAAACATGTCAGGCGATGGTTCTTCTGGCAACTGTTTCTCAATACGGTAGGCAATTTCAGAGTTGTCATTATTAGCCTCATCGGCGTCTGTGGCCACGACCTTAATTACATCAGTACCTGAACAAGAGGAAACAAAATTCAGGTAAATGAGCTTTGTTCTGTTTAACAGTTATTTAACTCCATCACATCCACCATCAGTCCTATGTTACCTTATTATGTTTACTTTTGTTGGCATCGACAGATGGCAGCTCACACTCAGCCTGGTTGTGGTTATTGGGAGGTTTATTGCTGTTAAAGGGAGTTTTCCTCTTAACCAAACCCTCATGCTCAACATGAAGGACTGTTGTTGTTAGGGGTCTACTGTATAAAGCTTCGAACTCAATGCCATTTTGAATTGAAAAAGCTTCCCGGATGGGAAGCCAAATGTCTTCAAACATGAAAACAGAGTCCAATGGATTGTTTAACTTTTTTGGAATGACTATGACCTGGATGACTGAGAATCTTCACCAGCATACGTGAATTACAGTACTCTGACAATACAGAGTGATAGTAATGTCAAGAGAAATGGTGATATACCAAAAAAACAGGCATGTGATTTTATATATCACACATTAAATTTTCATTTAATCCAAAAAACAATTTATATAAAAAAAAGGAAATTGAATAAAATGGTTAAAGTCAGCAATCTTTTTTCTTTAGTTTTTCAAAGGACGTTGGACTTCATCACTTAGCTCATTTCAAATTGACATGTCTTAATAAAATGACTGTGACCACAACAATAGTTTTTTTAGCCATTATTTCAACTCCGATTGTATAAAAATATATTTTCAGTGATCACGTAGTACAGCAGCTGTTTTCAACCAAAAATGAAAAAAAAAAGAAGTGTGCAGACGGTGGCTAGGCTAACCCTTAACAACTTAACGCAATCCACTTTAAAGTTTAATACTGAAAATATACTGAAGTCTTTGGATTATTCAGTTACATTGTTAAAGCAAACATATCAACAAGTTTTGGTGGTATGACTGTTATGTAATGTTCCTTATGTTCCCAACAGAGCCCTTTGCTTTCAATCTGCAGGTTTACTAGTGGTTCCTAGAATTTCTAAAAGTAGAATGAGAGGAAGATCTTTTAGTTATCAGGCTCCTTTCCTGTGGAACCAACTACCAGTTTTAGTCAGTGAGGCAGACACCCCGTCTACTTTTAAGGGTAGGCTCTTTCTGCTTTTTCTCATAGTAACTTAATCTGGTCCGTTCCTGTTTGGCTGTGACTCCATCCTGGAGAGAAATATCAGCTGTGCTGCTGCCATGTTTATAAATGTTGGACCTTTGCCTGTTTTTCAGTGTAGCCCTGTTTCTCTGACTGCCTCAGCAGATGGCCGCTCACACTGAAAATGGTTCTGCTGGACGTTTCTTCCTGTTAAAAGGGAGTTTTTCCTCCCAAACTGTCGCAACAAGCATGTTTATTGTGAGGGACTGCATTTAAATCAATGAGTCGATGCAATCAACTGGTTTTCCTTAGATCGAAAACTTTGAATCAATCTGACAGGATGATCTGGTGAACTGTAAAGTGCCTTGAGAGATGATGTGTTGGCACTATAGAAATAAACTGAATTGAATGTTTTTAATCAACACAAAAACATTAATAATTAATAACTACATACATAAAAAAAAATATGATTGCAATAATACATTGTCTATAAAACCAGATTAGGATATTCAGCCCCCATGTAGGATCTTTGATGAAACATTTTTTCAAAACTGGCATGTCAGATACCACTTTTGGCTCTCACCGTCACTCCATTCTAGACTCTGGAGTTTTGAATTAGACACAAAAAGTTGCAGGACACCAACCTTGAGGATTTCTAAGGGGTATGCAATGGATTTGCCCTATAAAGGGTTCATCTGACTGGATAACTCAATAGAATTGCTGCCTTCAGATGAAGTGTTGTAAACTGACCAAATCAAGTTAAAAACACATTCTTAGCAAAGCCGCACGTTTAATAATATTGTTAGAAAAGTATCATAGTTGTGTTTTTTTTGGTATTTGCTTATGTTTTTTCTCATGTCTAAACATTTGCTTTAAACCACAGGATCATTTTAAAACAATTTGACGCATTTCTTTAGAAAAATATCAAATCTTTTGCATTTAAAATAAATAAAACTGATTTAATAATTTTTTCGAGTTTCACACTTGTAAACAAAATGTATGAAACCTACCAATCACGCCAAAGTAGCTGCTGGTTAGTTACATGCATTTTTCAAAAACAACATTATTAATGTACTGAAATATTTTAATTTGATAGTTTGAGATGTAAGGCTTAGCTGGTTAAATTTAACACATGTCAGACATGGCAGGACAATCCAGAACCTGCAATGCCTTGGGTTTCTATAAAGCCAGGTTTTCCTTCTTTAAATCCTGCATTATGTGTTGCTTGAATTATGTCCATCTAACATTTTGTCTGGAGGAAGTTTCTGCATGTCCTAAAGGTCTAGTTCTGGTACCATGGCTTCTTAATGACCAGAAGTTGAACAGGATGGTCCCTATTTTGCTCATCTAGTGACCATGGATGATCCCTACTTTTCAAGATGCATTGTGGGAAATTTCGAGTCTACTACTTTTTCATCCACTACACATTTGAAGACTCATCTAAAGTGTATATAGTGCCCTATATAGTGATCAGGGTGTAAATTTGGACACAGCTTGTGTTTTGATTTCAGGCTATCCATCCTCATGCCTGTTTGGTAGAGAATACAGTTTAATTTGTTAATAAAGCTATTTTATGGGATTGCAGTTGTTCCCTCCCATATACGACTATCAAACTGACTGGAAGATGGAAGATTGACCATTACTTTTGAAACCAGTGACCTACCTTTTGGTGTGGCCTCAGGAACTTCTGCCACGTAGGTAGTCTGATTAAAAATTGGTTTATTGTCATTCTGGTCGATCACTTTGATTATTATTTCCATAGGATCTTCTGCATTTCCAGAACTTCCCTCTGCCACAGCATGAGCCCAGATCTATAGAAAAGAATATTTCATTTTATTAACAAGTATGTTTTGTTTGTCATTTTATTCCGTTATTAGATAAAGGTTTATGCTGTTGCTATTTTATGAACTATAATTTATGTTATCAAAGATGACCGAAATATACTATTTATATTAATTATGTTTTGATCCGAGTATTCCTTGAAAATATTAATATTGTTACAGAAAAACTATTCATCTTTTATAGCAGCGTTAAAAAGAAAACTAGTTACCCTGTATTCCGCCTGTTTCTCTCTGTCCAGTTCCTGTGTGACATACAGATTACCAGTATTCCTGTCCATGGTGAAAAGATTAATGGGAGGCTGATCTGCTCCTGGACCAGTGATGCTGTAATGGATCGTCTTTTTGCTGTCTTCACTAGAGCGTATCTGAACAGAATGAAACATCAATGATAAAAGTTTTAAACCAAGAAAATAACTTAAAGAGAGACATTAATGCAGGTGACAGCCCTAAAAGCTAGGACTAACTGTAACCTAAAAGAGTTGCCGGGCTAAAGGATTTTATTAACATTACTAATGTTAAATAACAGACCAAAACATCAGCAAACAATTTATTCATGGAAGGGAGCAGAATTCAGCTTTAAACTCACCAATGGTAGAATAGAAACAAAAAACTGAATACACCTTAAAAATAGTATGTATGTAGTAGGTATGAAATAGTAGGTATGAAAAAAAACAAAAACAAAACTTAAATGGACTGTCTGCCATTTTTATTGTTCAGTTCTTCTCACCTGATTAAGCCTATAAGGATATGGTCCCCTCTGATTCTCAGAAACACTTATTGGAGGGATAACCCAGTCTCTCTTCCTCCTTTTCAGCCCGCCACTAGATTTGGGGAAAAGCAGGACGGGAACCTCTCGATTCGCTGCATCCTGAAATCATGCATTATTTTCAGTAAGTTACTTAAACTGTAGTGTTTGCTAACACAAATTAAAATTCATCTTGATTTTTTAATTAAACACTAAAAATTTAGATTAAACTCTTAATATGATTATTAACCTTCAAATGAAGTAGTTGTAGCAGGTTAAACTATCAACTTCAGCTCGTATTTTTGCACAGAAACAAGGAATGTCACAAAATGTTAAATCCCGCCACAAGATGACAGCGTTTCACAGAAAACCTCTCTGAATTTCATTAACTCAAACAAAAAAACAAAAGAACAGAGCTACTTGGTAGTGTCGGGATTATGAAAGTACATTAGAAGTAAGATAAATATCTTTACCAAAGGTAAAAAGTCTACATCTACACCGACCTGCTCTGCTGCAGCGTCCATCTCAGTCTGATCATGGAGCTGGCCGTTTGGTTTATGACCATGTTGGTGCTCAGTGTTAGGGTGGTTATTTCCATGGCGATGACCATCATACATCACCATGGCTGGAACAGTCAACTTCTGACCCTTTGAATCCCAGGAGTGGATGAAAAAGTCTCTGTGGCCCTCATGAAGAACAACTTGTCTCTTAACCTAAAGGATAGCAACATTAGCACAGGATATCATGAGAATGTAAAAATTTTAAAATTTAAGAAGTCATGAATCATAAATTGATGACAGAAACACATCAGCCTCAGGACCGGATTCTAATATCTTTGCAGTGGGACTATAAATCTGATACGGTACTGCTGTTGAAGCTCCAGAAAAGATATTATAGCACCCAGAACAGCAGTGAGAAGTCATGGAGAGTTATTGTCAATGGATGATTTAAATAATATGATGCCTAATTCTCAAATTGGGACAAATTATAAATTATATCCAAATATTTTGACCAATTTAGTTCAAGGTTGTCTTAGTAATATTCTAGCTCCTTAACTTAAAAATACATTTACTGAAGGAATCAATATAATAGACATAGATATAATAGATACGAAAAGTGTCAGAGGACTTGGTCAATTATAGACCTATATTCAATCTTCCTTTAGGGAATCAGTGCCAGGACCAATTCTCTTTACTATATATATACTCCCCATCAGTAGAATTATTAGACAGCATGGGATTAATTTCCACTGTCAAATCCATTGCTTTATGTCTCTACAGTTCTGTCATTTTTATTTCTTTATTACTCCCTCAGAACATCATTGATTTTGACAAACACCCTCCTAAAGATCGAGGAGTGGATTACGGCATGCAATGCCTAAATGAGGAAGCAGTTTCTACCTGGGACTTGGGAAGTTGCATTCAGCTGACTTGATTTAAAAAAAAAATGTTTATTTTTTGCTGCAACTTAACTGCAGTTTTAGCCATTTTATATTATTTGCACTTGACAGCCAAAGATGGATTTTAGAAAAGCTGAAAGGCTTTGGAGGCCGTGCAGCACTCACTCATGTGTATTGGGCGGTTTGCAGAGATAAAAGGAAGTGTGCGGTGTCAGACAGAGATAGTAAGCCGGGCTTCCTCTTCCTTTTTTAAAAAACTTAATTGAATGGCTTGACCTGAAGCATTGTTATATGGCTCAACACAATGCTGCAAACATGAAACCGTTAATATTCATTCATCTAAAAAAAAAAATTTTTTTTTTTTATATATATATATATATATATATATATATATATATATATATATATATATATATATATAAACTGTATTATAAAGTGACATAATACAGTCATACTGTCTATTTTGGTAGGCGAGCGTCAACTGGGAAAGCTCAGATCGGAATGCACACCAGAATATTTGAATATTATGAATGCAAACGTTCATAATTTGATTGTTAAAATAACAGGCAGCATTTTCTGTTTCACATCCCACATATGCACCATTTTGTGTTTGAAGATTGTAAAAAAGCAGGTGCGAAAACTCTACATTAGTCGGTTAACATGTAATCCACTTTGGCTGCGTATCTGGTACTTACAGCCAAAACTCCATCTGGCTGTACCAGAAAACGGCTGTCATCGGTGCTGAAAAGAAATCGCCTGCGGTCCGTGCAGTCTGTGAAGCCAACTGGAAAACAACAACACACATTAGAAATCTTTAGATATACAAATATCTGGTATTTTTTTTTATTTTATTAAAAAAAAATGCTACTCAAAGCCAGTTAGTACTTTACAAAGAATAAAACACTACATATACCCCCTTTCCCCCTGGCCCAAATAGCTTAAACCTGAGAAAAATCTGCTGTTAGTGGCAGTGGGAACGGCTCACAGACTTGCGTCAAATGACTGCAAGTGACCTGGGTTAAAACAGGCTCGCCTCCGATCGGTATACAGTGGGAATATCAGTACCGGGTCGACCGGCTGATACGTGATACACCTGAGCGCATCGAAAGGACATAAACACATCGCTCATAATGCTGATTGCTAGCCAGTCGACACACATTTAAAAAATCTGTGTCAACTCGCCAGTTTCAGTGGGAAAGAGGCTCAAGACTACATGTGAAAGTTCTCTTTGGTCTTAGGGAAATAAGAATAACCATTAGACTAAGCCTGGTTCTGCTTGAGGTTTCTTCCTGTTAAAAGGGAGTTTTTCCTCTCCACTGTCGCTTGAGCATGCTTAGTGTGAGGGATTGCCTTAGAGTCAATGAGTCGATGCAATCAACTGGTTTTCCTTGGATTGAAAACTGAATCAATTCGACTGTAAAGTGCCTTGAGATGACATGGAAGATGTTTTTTTTTTTACTAGTGATGGGTTAAAGAGGTATCTTGAAGCATTTTGACACATTGCAAGCTGTATTGATACTGATGCTGTTTCACAGAATACTGACACCTGCTGGACATTTAAAGACACTACAGGCAGCTTATCTGACAGACTAAACTGAATTAATTTGATGGCTTAGTACAATGATATAATTTAAGTTATTGTAAGTTATATTATATTACTTCACATCCATGTTCAAATTGAAAATACATTTGATATTATTAGATGCAGCCAATAAATTATGTAAACATGTATCATAATGTGAACAAAAAGTACATTAAGTACAGTAAAAACAGTAAATACTCTAAGAGTGAATTTGAAATTAACTTTAATTCAGATAAGTCGAATGATAACTCAGAGGAAAAGGATGACACAATGAGAAAATAAAAATACAATGGCTGAAACGTTTCTGTTCCTTTTAGGCTGCTCCAAAATTCCGAATCCTTTTAATGATAAACTGCAATAGATGAGACTTTTTCTTTTTTCTTTAGCAGATGCATCATGTTGACATAAATGTTTTTAAACAGTTTAGTGAGTCAGTCAGTTAGAAACAACTTCTGTATCTGTCACATGACTTTCTGGAAACGACATGTGCACCAATACAGTGTTTGGCTCTATGGGCTCCACGAATCGCTGTTGCTGGACCCATCATAAGTTTCTACCATTATAAATATGAAGCATCTGGTATTCATGATCCAGAACAAAATAACAGGACTGTAGGGCTAATGAGTGACTGCTAATCAGTTTAATGCTCTTGTCTAAAGAGATAAAACTGGATGCAGGAAGTTCTCACGGCAGGTAAATCATTAAACCTCCAAGGCACCATTCTACCTTTTAATAAAAAGCCAAACTACACTGAGAGAAATAATGCAACAGTTTTTTGGCATTTACTTAATCATATTTAGTTACTTTAACACAACTTTTTCATGTTACCAGGATAGGACATAAAACAATTGTGTTAAAGTAACTAAATATGATTAAGTAAATGCCAAAAGCGGTTGCACTAAGTTTTTCAGTGTAGCAACAAAACATTTCCTGTAAGTTCATAGTTTATTCACAGTGAACTCAGTTTATGATTCATTTGAAAGTAATGTTATCATCTATCTCTTACTGTCCGGGGGTGGGGGTGGGGAAAAAGGCTTAAAACTATTTTATTGCTCCGTTTTCAGCTACACCAAAATACGGAAGCAGTGATTTGAATAGATTAAAATATCTAGCAGTTTGCTACTTCAATTATTTCACAGCAGAGGAAAAAAAAAAACACAAAACAGTTTAGCTTCTTGAAATGTTATGCTAAACGAGCTTAAACTAGCCCATATAAATGCAGAACCCAACCCTGTTTTCTGTCTGTCTTTGTTTAGAGCGCAACACATTTTAAAAATCCAGCAGAACTGGTTTGGGGACAAGTAGAAACCTGACTGAAGCTTATCTGAGCTGCAGAACTCAGGATGAGACAAGAACAGGTCATCTTGCCTAGTCAGTATGAAGCGACACAAAACAAGAAAACCAAAACAGAAAAGTTAAATCAGTGAGGTTGTAAAAAGTTGCGATGGCTCATACCTTTGCCCAGTCTGGTGCCTTGCCTCAGGTGCTTTCTGGTCACTTTGAATATCAGCAGCTCGGACTCAAATCCAGGCACACATGACGTCTCCTCCACAGCCGCCACCTGGAAGATAGCAATGAGCATTTCCTTAAGGTCTGCAATCATGGATATGTCACAAAACGGATGTGCTTTTATTACAAAAATCAACAGTGAGACACAATGGTTGATTGGACACACTTTAGTTTGATAGCAGCAGAGAAAAGATGAACTCTTTTAGTCATTAAGGGAAATAAAAAGTAAACAGGGTCGATGTGGCATCAGTGTCTTTATTTGAATACCAGCAAAAAGGAAATAACTTTTCACATATTTCAGATGATTCAGAAGTTGTTTTTTTTTTTCAGAGCAGGTCCCAGAGGTGGTCAGAATGAGCTCTAACGGCTGCAGAATATGAGAAACACTAGTCTGGAGCTGAAACAATCTGATTAATCGATTACTGAAATAATCGCAAACTAATTTAGTAATCGATTAATCGTTAAACAGAGAATAGAGACTGTAAAACATGCCTTTAGGTGACAGAATGATGCATTTAGAGCAGGAATTTACCAAGATTGTAAAAAAAACAAAAAACAAAAACAAACAAAACAAAAATATATATAAAAATGTTGCATTTAGGATAAAAAGTTTTAGTTTCACCCGGTTTAATTTAGTAAAAATTAAAAAATTCTTTAAGGAACTTTTTGGCTATCCGATTATCAATCAAATAAAATAATCAGATTAATTAATTTGTGAAATAATCATTTGTTTTTTTAATAACTTCTTTATTGAGCAACAGCAATAAAAAGACTCAGAAAGGATGGGGTGGACCCCAAACACAAAACAATGCTCACTTTTCTTTTTTTCTTTTTTAAAGCAATTTTAAAAAACAAACCCCCCCACCCCCGACCTACCACCCCTCCCAAACCTACATCCCTATGTTTAGGCACAGAGCATAAAAGAAAGTAACTTAAAATTACAGACTAAGGGACAGAAAGGGGAAAAGGGAACAGAAATGAAATAACCAAAATACTAATAACCTAAAGAAAAAATAATAGAGAAAAGAAAAAAAAATCATTAGTTGCAGCCCCAGACTAGTCATCTAATTTAAATGATAGCTAATGGCATCCATGAATAAAGGTTTCTTTACCTTAAAAGTGGGCAGATAAGATAAACTGACTGAGAAAGGGAACAATTATTCAGGATGGCTGAAGTTTACAGCCTAATTTTAACTGAACCAAATGAGCAGATATTAACCCTTTAGACTTTCACAAGAGAACATTGTTTGGTCATTGGCTTCCTCTGTGTTGCTGCAGTAATGTGAGCCAAATGTATCACAGCATCTTATCAGCTGTGACTCACGTCAGTTTAAAAACCGCCAATGGTGGAGGAAACATAGTTTGCACAACGCTGTGAAGATGATGTTCTAAAAGGACTTTCTGGGTTGATAAAATTGAGATTAGCAGGTTGGTCAGAAACAAACAGCAACAACCATTTTGTTAAGACTGTAATAACTGCTAAATATGGCATTACACCCCAGAAGCCAAAAGTATCCCTTCAATCTGAATGTTTCAGCTTCCACAGCCTTGCCTTCTGTTTGGTATACTTTTAAAAAATACTCCTATTTTATTGCTTTAAGTAGATTTTTCTTTCTCCATTTTGGTTAAAAAATTGTAACCCATCAAGATCAGAGGCCAAAAAGGAAATAAATAAACGGGTGTCAGAAATCTTATGTCCACACCAACAATGGCTTCTGCAACACTGAGGCTTTGTAGGCCACAATATTTTCGTTTTAACTTAAAGGGAAACGCCGTTGTTTTTTTTTTTTGTTTTGTTTTTTTTTTACATTGGGCCATTGTTTTTACATTATTACATCATGTTCTACTCACTCATATTAGTTTTGTGTCATTTGGCGCTGTTCTGAACATATTCGGTTAGGTTATATCCAGGTAACGTCTTCCTTTGGGCAACGAGTTAAAGGCACAAACTTAACTGTTCATAATTTATTCTTTATGGTACGCCAGCATTCATAACATGTAGGCGAATCACTGTCCCCCAGACATCGGCGGTTATATTTTTATATTTATATCTTTGAAAACCAAAGCGGCTCGTTTATGACACGCACCGCTTTGGTTTTCTAGATCTGGTGGTCTAGAACCACAAGATCTATGTCCAGCCATTCAGCAAAGATACTGCTAGATGGTTGTACATCTTATTTTGGCATTTGACCAATTAGAGGAGCCCTTGAATAATATATTAGCTACTGGAAATTAAGTTGGGGAAAAAAAGTTAACAAGTCAAGAAAAATAGGTAATTAAAAAGTTCAAAAGGTAATAAGCCTAGTTTACAATTATATGTAAGTGCTAGTATCGGCATTAATGCCTCTAAGCTTATGTTGGACCAAAAAATGTGTTTCTTTCACTTTCAGAGAGTTTTTCATAAATTTCTTATAGAAGCACTTTTATTAATTTTCTTAATATATTTAGGCCGGTTGGCCATTATTGTTATTACATTGACATTAGGTTTTGCCATCAAAATATCGATATTTTTTGAATGTAACAAAATTAATAAGGTCTCACTCTGGATTACAACACCACCATTGGCTTGAAATTTGGATTTTCTAAGGATTTTATTGATTGCCCTATAAAGAGTTAAACATAGTCTGCGTTCAAATTAATCTCAAAGTTAAAAAGAAAACAAAAAGAAAACCATATTAGATATGTAACGACCAATTTCTACCCCAGAAACTGGTTTGAACTTTGTTCATATTTTCTTTACTCGACAGAGCAGCTTTAAAAACTTCCACCTCTATGTCCAGATTTAATGTTTTAATCTTTCACGTTTCTAAAGACCATCAAGCGACCAAATTTCAGCTCTTGAAATAGAGAGCATGACTCCTGGTGACTTCCTTTCTCAGAACAAACAAGAAATAATGGGAACTAATTTTTTAAAGTTACAGAAACCCAAAAGTGGCGAGTTAAAACTAGTTAACCTGCAGCCAACGTCACAAAGGGAAGCAGGGCGAGGCCTGAGCCGCACCTAGGATTATTACCCACAGCTCTTTTGCGCTCTTTAGTCACCTTTCATTTCAATAATAAATCAATTCCAGTAACCACCAATAATCCAACAGCCAGAAGAACCAGTCAGTTAAACTCATCACAGAGCAGAACTACAAGTAAAGAACCAGGAACATTTAAATCCTAAATAATGTGAAGCAGCTGCGCAGTATTTATGGAGGAAACAGGAGAGTCTTACCTGCAAGGCGACGATTAAAACGCCACAAACCGCAAACCAAGCGGTCCCCATTAGACACTGGAGCCTCTTATCAAATCCTTCTTTCAACTTCAATGTGGTAAAACGAAAAGCTTCCTGTTTAATCCGCACTTTGGCGTCTCCTCCTTGCTTTACCGCCTGTGGACTGACCGTCTCTGAACGCGCTCAGCTCGTGAGCCGCAGCAGATACTCAGCGTGACGTCAGCTCACAGGTGCGCCTGTTCCGGGTTCCTCATATGGTCATGAAGCAGCACACCTGAGGGGGGAGAAAAGAGGGAGTTTCGATCATTTTTTCTGTGATTGCAGCAGGGAGCAGGTAGTTGGCGTCCATCAGCAGCAGGGGTCAAACCTCAGTCAGTCCGACTTTAGACTCGTTTCTTTTTACCGCCCCCCCTTCATTACCACCATTTTTTCTCTCTCTCGGTGTCTCACTCTGTCAAACACTCTAACGAAACTAAAACACAACCTTATTTCTGAGAACCGAATCAAAGTGAATTCTTTAAATCTGTTTGGACTTAAAGCGCGTGACTTAAACCTTAAGAAATATAGAAACAAAAAGATTGGGGTCTTTACAGATGATTTGAAAAGCAACAAAAGCAGTTTCAAGTTCCTCGTTTTGATTAAAAGATCACATTTATCTACAGTAAATTTAGAAGCGGAGCATATGAATTAGTTGGAAGGATAAATGTCATTTAAAGTTTTGAAATGAATCTCTATATATTTAGGCGTTATAGACAATTTAAAATATTTGGTTCTCCATACATGGATATCATTTCTGGAGTATTGTTTTAATAAGAAATTTACTTCAATTGGATTAGGATATAAGGTTTTTGTTTATGTTTGTTTTTACATTTTTCGTCTATTTTATTGATTCCTTCAATAAATGTATTTTTAAGTTTAGGAACTGGAATATTACTGAGGCAACCTTGAACTAATTGATCAATGTATTTGGGATATTATTTATAATTCGTCCAAATTCCTGGGATAAGAATGGCATTATATTAATTATTTAAATCATCTAGTGACAATAACCCTCCATCACTTCTCACTGTTGTTCTGGGTGCTGATAACATTTCTGAGGAGCTTCAGCAGCAGTATCGTCATCTCAGATATGAGATTTCAGTCCCCACCCTGCCGAGATATTGAAATCTGAGCTTAAATTAAAGCCCAACCCATTTGTTTACACAGTAACAGATAAAACATTTCTTTAAATCAAAATTACCGCCACATATCTGACTCAATAACCATTAAAACAACTATTTTCCTTAATTTCAGACTAAACTATTCATATACTTGTGTTATAATAAACTGCAGTTCCAATATTCACCACTGTTTGGCACCATTTCCCTTTTTCCTCTGAAAATCCGAACAGACCTTGGTGCAGCGCTATGACATAATCTGCCTTCGGAGGACGCAGCCCATGAATTCGAATTTAGCACATATATAAGATCTTGGTCTTGGTCTCTTAACGTCTTGGTCTTATCTTTGTCTCGGTACTCTTTGTTCTCGGTTGATGTCATCTAGACTATAACTCTATCCTCTTGCCTCAAAGTTAAACTTTAACAGCTAAAACTGAGCTGTACTGTGTATTTCTGGATTCTAGGGCTTAAACCCCCTCCAACAGGAAAGCCAAATGCTGCCCCTCTTGTTAACCACCTGGAATATGTAAACCACTTGCATTCACACCTTGGTTTTGAGTGTTCAGGAGTCTGCTGTGGTTTGACCAAGTCTGTTGGTGGTGTTAGCTCAGAATTGCTCTTGTTTTTGCAGAATTGCTTTATCAAAAGAGAATCTGGGTTTTATGGAAAGCTAACAGGCAGTCGGTGGTCATGTATGAAGCAAGGTGGACTGTCTCTCTGGTATTGTGGGCAGATGTGGGAACTGCTATTGGAGTTCTGTGGGCCATGGTTTTTGCAGGTGGTTGCTAGCTCAGGACCATTTGGCCCGTTATGGCTGTTGTTGATGGGAGAGGACTTTGAGTTGTGCTTCTTGGCTTTGCAAAGATTTTTAGCCGAATGTGGTCAAACAGCTCTCTGGGCTAAAGTGGAACAGGATTTTGGACTTTTAACAACAATTAATTTACACAATTCAAAACATATAAACAATTAATGACGTAAAACAAGCGTCAGTTAAAAATCATTAAATGAGGAGCTTCTTATATTGTAAATCTCCATCATCTGACATAGAACAGACAATGTTGTTAAAACCCCAGCTGAATAAAATCCTCCATGTTGTGTGTGGCTCTGTGGAAGTGAAACTCCAGCCTTATTCTGGCTTTAACCTTTTCCACAGAGACACAGCATCACAGTGAGCTCCCTCATGCAGTCTGTCTCTACGGGACAATAAACGGCCATCTTTGCTTCACTGATTAAAACATTTAAAACTCGCTTTTTGGCTTGTTTCTTCTATTCTGTCTAACTCCTCCTATAAAAAGAGTGTTAGTAAAAACTCTCCCAAAAAGACTAAGAACACAAATTAAAAAGCTAAAAATTGTCTTTAGTCTTGTGCATTTCATAAAAACATGCAACCCTTTTTCAGACAGACTGCTGCGGATTAAAAAGCTCCGATTAATGAGCGACGGCACCTTGTTAAATCCTCCATTGGAGATCACCAGTTTTTTTTTTAATTGGAGGCTTGTATAAAGTCCAAGTTTTCCCTTCCATGTTCAGATCAGCAGGTTCTGAAGATGTCTTTAATTTACTGCTATTGTGCAGCAGTGGTAAAAGGCTTTCTGGTCCATATTCAATAAAAACATTCTCTGTGGGTCCAGTCTGGAGAGCAGAGGTCTGGAGAATAACAAGCATTATGAGAATGACACTTAACCAGGCATTAATGGTTTAGAAAAAATGTTAAGAGGGAAACCAGAGCTAATATGTTGTGTTTTATTACCCTAGAAACTGGTAAACTGGGATTTGGGCGATAGCTTTCCCGTTTCTCTCTAGTGGAAGTTTGTTTTCCTGATTGTTTGTACAGTATGTGGCCACAACAGCTACTATTAAAACAAGAACAAAAACAATATCCTACATGGACTTTGTGCATATAAACAACTTGAAAACCATCCATCAATCATCCATCTGTCCTTCTTCTCCCACTTATTCCGTCAGAGTCGCGGTGGGCCAGTGTCTATCTCTGCCAGTCTATGGGCCAGAGGCGGGGTACACCCTGGACAGGTCAGCCTTCTGTCACAGCCACAGTGAAACATCTTGCCTAACCAAAAGTGATGATTAGTTTGGGTTGGACTGAGTTTCCCATCAATAGGAAAGAACTGCTAAAAAACAGTCAAACTATGACTGTTCATAGTTACTACTGTTGACCCAACTTTTAAAGGAGAAGTCCGGTCAGCAGGGAATAATCGATGGATCATTATCTATACCTAAAACTAATATGTTTGCGGTGACTTAATCAATTCAGTAAAAAAATTTAAATAATAATTTTCTTCATGATCGCTGAGTCTGGGAGCGGCCATTTTTGCCCAAATACAGTAACACCTCACTCCTGCCATCTTCCGGCAGTGACGTCACGGTGCGGTAAGCCTAGCGCCATTCTCCCTGCTTTACAAGCAAAATCAATGGGAACTACTAGACACATCTGCAATCAACAACAAAGTGTAAAAGTGAGAAAAAAAAGAGTTATTTCAACTTTCTGATTCCTGATCCTCCACGGACGGGTTCTTCGTTGGATCGCCAACTTGAAGAGGGAGGATTTGCCATCGAACTTCTGGCCAGAGAAAAAAATATGTAGCCAACATTTGGAAGAAGAATGTTTTCAAGATGACTTGGATAATAGCGCGTTGTGACAAACACCAGATACAGCACTGGGACTTGATCCACAGCCGATACCGCACCGTGACGTCACAAACCAGTAGGTGGCAGTAGTGTTCTTTGACAAACATGGATGCCTCCAGTAAAGCACATTCAAATGAAAAACAATTATCATTTATTGAAAAGTATGTGATAATTTGATATTTAAAGTACTTTCAGAAGTTTGAATTCTGAATATGAGCGGACTTTTCTTTTAAGACGCGAGTTTCAGACTTACAGTCAATATGTTCCAGTATGGGCTAGGAAAACTGAGCTTACATGAACAAATGAAAAGTAGCATTAGGTCATCAGACATAAGGCTGCTCTCACCTACAGTATGACAGTGATACAGCCACTTTTTCTATGAGTTAAAAAAGGTTATTTTGGCATTTTGGAATAAAAATGTCTGGAGCCCTAACAAAGCCTGGGACCTGGAGTCAAATCCTGATATCACTGCCAATATTATATCTCATTCCTGGCTTTGGAATGCCTTGAAGCTCCCCGGGATGAACTGGAGGGAGTTTGTAGTGGGTGCAAGGTCAACGGATCTTTGGTGTGACTTTTGAAAACACAGGACAGTTGTGGATGAGTAGAAGTGATTGATGAATAGACAGACATGGGTAGAATTTCCAGAATTCACCTTTTTCATAATTTTGTACCTGTTGTTATCCACCATGCATACAAAGCACTTTAAATCTCACTGTCAGAGGTGGGTAGTAACTAGTTACATTTACTCTGTTATATTTAATTGAGTAACTTTTTGAAAAAGAAAATTTAGTTTTACAGCGATGTACTTTTTACTTTTACTTGAGTAAAAATATGGTTAAATATCATTAGTCTTAATTGAATAAAGGTTCTGCCTGTTACATAAATTGTGAAAAACTTCACCTAGCAAAAACAAAAAAAAAGCAAAAACTTGTTTTAAAAAATATGCACAATTGAGAGACATGTATTATTTAATTAACTGGAGGCTAATTGTTTAAAAGCTATTTTATATCTGCTAGAGGTTGAGTGTCAATACAGTTAACAGTTTACTGTAATTTAACCAACATGGATTTTGAACCCAAACAAATTTTAAATCTGTTGTTTTGATTATGGGTAGTAAGTAAATCATTAAGCCAGACATACACTGTGCAATATTTTCAATCGTTGCACGCAGCTGCAGCTCTAACTGTACAATGAAACCGCAGGGTTTAAAAGTTCACAGCTCACGAGGTATCTTCTCTGACTGTGCGACCCGACGGCAAATAGGATTTCAAACATTTTCTCTTATTCTCACGATTCCTGATCGGGAGGTGGTAGTGAGAGGCTGATTGCCCCTCGTCACCCACTGTATATTACACGACGCACAATCAGGCTGGAAATCGACAGTTG